GCCACGGCTCACCGGAATACGGGCAAGGTGTTGGCACAGCCCGCGGGGTTACGTGGCCCCGCGCCGGCCCCGCCGCGCCGGTGTAAAGATCAAAGGGTTCGAGCAGAGCCACATGTTGGTTTTCTTTCTCCCATTCCCAGGCGTGTTACTCCCGAATAACAAGCCAGAAGCACGGCGAATTTTTCTTGGGAGCTTTGATAGTTTTTTTTCTCCCTCAAAAACATAAAAAGACAGGAAAAAGAAAAGAGTTTCATGCACGCTTCTTCTGTAAGTGGGCCAGGGAGATCTGTGAAGCTTTGCTTCCAGATTTCAAAGCCTCTTAATTTGATTCTTCTCCTCTCTTTCCAGCCTCCAGATTTGGATGTGGTTTTTATTTGCTATTGTAAGCTTTATCTGGGAGAAACGACACCTTTTTTTTTTTTTCTTTTTAAAAAATAATAATCCCTTTAAACGTATCGTGTAAGTTTGCAGAGCCCTATACAAGCACCTACCCCTGGAGACCGACGGCTCAGCTCCGGGGCTTTCGCACGCCCAGGCTGGGCTGGGTGGAGGGAGGCTCAGCTCCCCTGGGTGTGCTCAGCCGGACCGAGCGCTCATCCTTTCCCAATTTCAGCGACACAAACACGTTCTTGGGCTGGTTTAACCTCACTGAACTCACTGGGAGAGAATCTACATCATCCCAGCCGCTGTTTCCAGCCCTCCTCATCCACTCCTGGTGTCCTCCTCTTCCTCTTCTCCATAGAGCTGTTTTTCTTCTACCTGTCCCTGTTTTTCTTTGCTTTTCCTCCTCTTACCCTTGGCTGTCCCCTCACCTGAGTTCTGGGGAGGGGGCTGGCATCACCCTGGAGCTGTGTTTCCCCTGGCATGCCCTGAGCTCCCCCCGCCACCGCCTGAGCCTCGTGCCAGCACGGTGACACCGCTGTGACACGGACTGTATTCCCAAGTGGGACACCTGGACGGGATGTCCAACCTCTGCTTGGCTGCAAACATCTAGAGCTTAAAACCAACCCCCCAGGCCTTTAAGGCAACGCCACAGTTACATTTACAGGGGAGATGGAGCATCCTCAGGGATTTCAGCCCCCCGAGTGGGGCTGCGGGGAGGGGTACGGGACCCCCACACACTGTTGGAGTCAGGGGGTATGTTTGGGGAGCAGCTTGCTTGGTGCTCAGGGAGTGGAGGTCTGGGGAAAGGTGCCTGGCCCCCTCCTGGTACCCACCCCCCAGGTGACGCCACAGTTACATTTACAGGGGAGATGGAGCATCCTCAGGGATTTCAGCCCCCCGAGTGGGGCTGCGGGGAGGGGTACGGGACCCCCACACACTGTTGGAGTCAGGGGGTATGTTTGGGGAGCAGCTTGCTTGGTGCTCAGGGAGTGGAGGTCTGGGGAAAGGTGCCTGGCCCCCTCCTGGTACCCACCCCCCAGGTGTGGGGAGGGCTTCAGCAGAGCCCTGCTGAGATGGGCGTCCCCAAAAGCTGCAGCCCCCCCTTGCCAAAGTGATGGCGCTGAAGATGAGAGATGTCAGCTCCATGCTGGGGAGGCTGATGCTGTTTCATAGCTCTTAATTGAGGCCCTTAGGAGAAAGCCAAGGTTG